ACTAACTTATTTAACTAATAACTAAAAAAGTAAAAGTACAAACTTAGTACTAGTTCTACGTTTAATTAATATACTAAACCTAAACTAGTAGAGAAATTAATAACACACACACACATATATATATATATATATATATATATATATATATATATATCAATTATGTTGGCAGTGTGCCAGCACTTCCTTGCAGTTGCAAACAGTTAAATCTCATTCACAGAATATTGGAAGAATGCCAGAAACATTAAAATCCACAGCTGCCCACCCACTCATTACAATGAATTACATCATTTCCTTATTTTGAGTAGAGTTTGGTTTTTATTACCAATAACAGCTACTATTGAGCACATTTGAATAGTTGACTATTCTTCTTCAGGAGAACTATTCAAAAGTGCTCAAGTTTGGGGTCTTATTTTAAGTCTATTACACTTTATATGTGATCCTTTGTGCTAACTCTTTCATCAAAAAAGCTACTATTGAGTGTACAGATATCAGTATCACACCATGATTTCTAGATGAAAGAACTTAAGCACTTTTTATTTACTTCACTACTAATTGTAATTCTTAAAATGTGAAAAGAATTCACAAATTATGTTTTTTTGTGTGTAAAACATTATATGCACAAATTTTACTTAATGAAATTAATACCACAAGTACTTTTACAAAAAGTACTTTATAGAAAAATAATGTTATAACTAATTTAAATAAGGCTATTAAAAAATGGAATATCCATACAGATTATTCTTGTATGAATTTACATTTTTATATGCAATTCTAAAATTGCATAAAAATCCTGTGAAATTCAGATTTATTACTAATTCTTTAAATACAGTCATTACATCTGTTTTCATAGTACTTAACAATATTCTAGATGTCTTGTTTGAAAAAATTAAAATACAGTCTTCAAATAACCAGTGTAATTATTAAAGAATAAATTGAAAGATAACGGCTATACAGACAGGCAATTAAAGAAATACATTACTTTATTTTTTAATAAATACAAAAATATTTTAGAAACTAAACTATCGATTAAGGAAAATATCTTATAAATAAAAAATATAGAGGGAGTTAGTTATTTTAGCTTATAAATAGCTTACAATAATTTTTCTAGTAATTTTATTCAGTATACCCGGGATGGAAAACTAACTTCAAGTAGCTGGGCTTGTATCGGCATTCCCGAGTTATACTTGAATAAATCTTCAAGAAAAAGAGAGGTTTGGAGTTAGAACTATATAAAAACTTTTAAGGTAGAGCGTCTAGTTCTATTTAATATCTTATAGTTCTATTTTAATATCTTTTTGTAAGGGTGGAGGTTGGGAGTTTAATTAGTAGAAATATTAGGGTGACTTTATTTCAATTCATGTCTACTTTAAGAAATTTAAGGGTAACTGCCTTTCCACAACTGGTTATAGACAGTGAAAGGCAGTAGAAGCTGAGACATTGTGGGTGTAAGCACTCAGCTTTGTACCCTTATTTGATTGATAATTTTTTTTTTTCCTATGACTGCTGACTAGATTGACATCGGCATATGGATATTGTCTGATAGATGGAATATCCCCCAACGCATTTGGGTGCTATTACCACAGACATTATCCATTATGACAATAAGCTGACAACCAGAACCAATAATGGTATTGCAATATTTAATTCATTATTGTTTTATACTGCTGATTTAATCAGCTATAAACAACCAATGTGATCAATAGTTTGTAAGCTATTTATTTATATATATAATAAAACACAGACAGCGATATACATCATTTATTTAAATAGTCTTTGGTTGATGGGATAAAAACATCATTTTGCAGCCTCAAGCTGTAATTAAATATTATATGCTGATACTGAACTTATTCTTGTTTATAGATAAAAAAAAAAGATCTGTTAATTTTGATACAACAGTGTGTAGATTATTTGTCTTTCTGATAAATTTAACAATGCACATGTGAATGTGAAATTATCACTCATAACATCTGTATGTTACTAATGTTCTAATTTATACACATTAAAAATGTTGAGCAAAGCTTTACTAACACAAGCATAAAGTAGAATACTTCACGGCACTGTGAATATAAAATATGGAGAGCAAGGGACTATTTGATCGTTCAAGTCTGTTCTTGTACACCCACCCTTAGGAAAGTAAAAGTTGAAACCCAACCTTTACTTTTCAAGAAATCAATTCTCCCCTTAAACTTCTGTAAAGTGTTGACCTCCACTACTACTAATGGTAACTAATTCCAAGATCAACAGCCCTGTTACGAAAATGGAATTGTTTTAAATGGAATGGAACCTGGCACAAAGAAGTTATGGGCCTTTATGCTAAAAGAAGAAAAAATTTAATAACCCTTACCCTTGTTTTCTCTCAAGAAAACAAGCAGAGAGATCTTAACCTATCTCTGTAAGATAACCTCTTCAGCCCTGAAATCATCTCAGTAGCCCTCCTTTGAACCATTTCTAGTAAACCAATGTTCTTTCATAGATAAGGAAATTAAAACTGCACACAGTATTCCAAACGAGGCTTAACTAGTGATTTGTGTACAGATAAAACCTAAAATTCTACAGGCACAACTACTAGCAACAGAGCACTGCGTTGATGGCTTAAGAGACTTATCCACCACTATTTGAAAATCCTTTTCCTCAGTCACACTACTGAGTTGGTTTCTGTCTATATTAAATGTGTGATCCCAATTATTATAACCAAAATGCATTCATTACCTTACATTTTCAATACTTAAAGAGACTTTCAAACAATTTTTCATTTTTTATGAGCCACAAACCTTAATTATAAATGATAGGTGTATGTTACTTCAATTAAAAACTGGAATAGAGAGGAGAGTAACATAACAAAAGATTTGATTAAATCTATGGTATGTTTGAAAGTATAACTGGAAAGGCCAACATTCACAAACTAATGCAGTATCTCTCTCTCCCATCCACTTTATTTTATTTTATATGATACTCAGAATACAGTATATTTCAAAAGTAAATGGTATTCAAGGCAGAGGAAGAGACATAAACTACAACATATATATACCTCAGATGAATCGACACTTTACACAGTATCAATTTGATGCTTCTTTATGAGAAACATATATTGAAACATACTAAATTGTGACCTTATGATGCATAGGACTGTCAGTTTCTGCATAAACAGATTTATTCACAATAACAAATACTTTACAAGTAATTTCTGGGCAAACAAGACATAGCATAAAGAGGAATGGCAGGCCAAAACACCTCTCATTTAGTGAAATATTTTGACCTTCAAAACCCATAAAATTGAAATAAAGGCACAAATCTTTTATCTGTCTGTTTCAGTCTGTGAGAATTCTTGTAAGGTATCTTCATGCAAATTATCATTTGAATTAGTTAAAATATAAAGAAATAGCAGACTAAAAACATAACTTTAATGTGTTTTCACCTTTGAGCCCTGTAACATCAACGAAAAAAAAACCACAAGTTCCAAGTTTGTCTGATTTAGTACATGGGGGTTGTAACAAGGTATCATTCTACAGTCTCATCTAGATTCATTCAAATATAAAAGAACTACAAGCCAAAATAGATGGTTTTGCAATATTTGATCACCTAAAATCAGAATGGGGCTTAAATAAAAACAAACAAGATAAATAAAAAATTGGGAATTTAATAACCTGCAAATAGGGATCATAAAAAAAAGTAAGGAAAAAAGCCTGAAGATATTGTAGACATTAATTACTCATACTATAAACCCCTATTTTGGCTCCATGCTGTTGCCTAAAGACGAAAGAAACATGGGATATACAATGTCTGTTTTTCTAAGATTGAGACACTGAAATAATGGAATACACTATTTAAATGTTTTTAAGATATATTTTTTTTTGCATATGTATGTGTGTGTGTGCATATATATAGGAAGATAATTACACAGGCATCTTTACAGAAGTAAACTCTGAAGTATTGTTCTGTAAAAATAAAATAAATTCAAAGTTTTCCCAAGGTCATTTCATGGATTTCTAATGCCAGTGCTAGATATATTCAACTCAACATTTACATTTTATCATTTTGTGAGACAATAACTGTAAATATCTAAGTATTTGTTAATTTATAAAGATATAGGTGGATTATATTTTTTTTGAGAAGCAGATTTGTGATCTAAATGGACTTAATTATCTTATGTCATCTTGTTATTCTATTCTAAAATGGAGGTCTGAATAGTACTTTTTGGAACTTATGAATTTCTTTACAATTATACCAACAACCTTTTATAATTATTAACCAATAAATCCTTTTATTTTGTTAAATGAGAATATTGTTGAAGCATACAACATGTAATGATTGCTCATTTAATAATATATCTTGAGAAAAAAACAAGCCATCATCGCACAGTGCACAAAAGTTTAAACATTCTATGGCATTAAGAGTAGACAAAATAACTCAAACGGCCCTTCAAAAATTACTTGTATGATTTTTGTTAAATTGTACCTTGCCACTTTGGATCTTCATTTAGAGCATTTCTTTCTTTATCAAGGCTATTTGGTCCAGATGCCCCATTTCCTCCTCCTTCCTCAGAATTTTCAATAGCATGCAGTTCTCGAATGTCATAAACTGGATTTCGCAGATCATGCATTCCATGAGCAAATGCACAATGTGGCCCATTTTTTACACAGTAGCCTCTTGTATCAGTGTCATGAACACACACTCCAGTCTTGTAGTAGCGCAGATGATACCGTCTTTCTGTGTCTCCAGCTGTACGATGTAAATAGGGACAACTAAAAGGAAACATTAAAATATTTAATAATAAAATGTTATCTCTATATCTATCCATAATAACAAAAAAATGTAGTAATTTTTACTTTTGGTTCTTATTATAAACAAATGGCTATCACTCAACTTCTTTTATATATATATATATATATATTAGATAAGTCATTTGTTTAAACTCTAGAATTATATTTAATTTGTAAAACTTCACACTAATTTTATAGAAAAATCAATTATGTGAAACTTAAAATATCCCTCCCACATGAAAACATAATATTAAACTTTTTAGAAAAGAAACTGATTATTTAGCTATCTTCAATGGGTGACAGAGTTCATACAAGCAGAAAACACGGTAGGTAAATATTACTTGCTTCTTACATGATTACAGTCAAACTGACAACTTAATAGTTTAGGAAAATTACAAAGTCATATCTGCTTTACTGTCATCATTTCAAGTATTGCTATACCCTTCCCTAACTGTTAAAAATGAATCATCATAGATATTTAGAGTAGCAAATGTTTTTCATGATAGTAAACTAAACTAACAATAAAAAAGTATGAAAAGGACGTCTTTGTGTGAAACTTTTATAAGGACTTTCATGTCACACACATAATGATAATAACAGTGGACATTTTGAACATTTGTAATGGTAAAGAATACTACTAAATCACAGAAAAAGATTTATTGTATTAATTGTAGTTTCATTTCTTTTTTTGGGTTGGTCTACCCTGTCAGTTTATAATTGCATTTTACCTTCAACTTAGCTCTATCAAGCCATTCAAAACAGCTCTATTTTAGGTACCATAGTTTTAACCCATAAGAAATCATATCCCTACAGCACTGCCTTACAGGATTACATAACAACCATAATACAACAGTGTGTATGATTCTGTATGACAGCACTCTTCAGTTATGTATGAATATGTAAATAATTATGAAAATGTGCGACTATACAAACCACTTATTTGTGTGACTTTTAATGTAAATTTCATTCCTCACTGTAATGTCAGATTAACAAAGCTTGGGCCTCTAACCCCACCATAGACTTTTTAAATAACAGTCGTTATCAATGATCAAATTCACAATAAAACTCACGAATGTGAAAAATCAATTTGTTGAAACTGATAAGAATAATGAAACAAATGTCAAACATCCAAAAAACAAAAAGAAAGAAATATGCTGCACTTGGCCCATGAAATCTCAAATATTGAATTTTATTAATTAAATTTTTCACCAAAAAGGATAAAAAATTTAATAAAATGATAAAATAATTTATATCGAATCAAAATAATGAAATTTAATAACAATATAAACAAATATATAACTATAAATGTTATAATTTCTTTACGGTCTATAGATTGATTGTTACCAAACTCAGCTAATTTTTTTTTTTTTTTGTGAAGACATAAAACAAAGATCATGCAAAAATGTGAACAAACACAATATGGGCCCACTTAGGACATAGGCCTAGTGGATAATCCAGCTATGTCCCATTGTGGGTATATTTTAATTATAAAGATATACAAAAATAGCAATAACTATCAACTAAAAACTCAAAAATGAGCACAGCTAAGGATTAAAATTAAAACAGTACACATAAACGAAAAAATAAATATTGCACAGAATCTTTCCTACTGTTTTTATTACTATTACTGTTAAACCTAAAGCATTTTATTCTTCACCAGTAATTTATTACTACTTAATAATAATATATGCATCATACTAGTAATACAGAAAGAACTAGTATGAGAAAAAAATAATGTGAGTGTTGCTATATTCTCTTTTGAATCTTCATTATTTATCATAAATATAAACAAAACAAAAAATAAATTCACAGTGCATCCTTTTACAAAAGTGTTACTTGGGTGTACTAAAGTAGTTAAGTCTAATGTATAATCATAATATACCAAATATCAGTATAATACTTAGCTAAGTCCAGTCCTCAAATCTTTCTGTTAAAGCTTAAATTAAAAAGATTAGTCACATGGGAAAATAATAAATTAGTTCAATGTACCAGATTAACAAGCCTGATGATTATTCAGTAAGTAAATTCCACACATCATCCCACTCTAACCAGTACTCAAAGTCCAAGCAAGTAACTCTCCCTCATTCTGAATATTACAAAATCCTTTCCTAAAATTATTTTATCAACGTATGAATCAGACGATTAATTTATTGTATAACAGCATTTGAATTCTTAACATGTTCCATATTTCTAAACTTCAGATCATTGTGGTAATCCAATTTTTGATTTACTTCCTCAGCTCAGTATAAAATCTTAAACCTCTTGCACACTAGGCGAGTACTCTACTGCTTAAGTTATAGGATTAATCCCTTCAGCTGTTGTTAGTGCATCCTTAGGCCTTGTTCTAATGTCTTGAGAAAGCTCCACTTTGGATGCTAGTTTTTTTTAATGGCCATTGATTTTTTTTTATTTCCTCAATTTGATATCAAACCTGGGACCACTCATGTACCAGTTGAGTATACGGCCATTAATTTTTTTTATTTCCTCAATTTGATATCAAACCTGGGACCACTCATGTACCAGTTGAGTATACTACTAACTGATTTAAATGGTTAATCT